CGATCCTCCTGCCTCAGCCTCCCAAGCTGCTGGGATTATAGGCATGCGCCACTGCTCCTGGCCCCATCTGACTTTTGATCAGAGGGCAATTTTGGACTGTTCCCCTGCCCCCCTTCTCTATCCCCACTGGTCTGCATTGGTTAGGAGGAAAAAGAATCATGCCAGGTGAGATGGCGCATGCCTGTTATCCTAGCAGCTGGGAAGGCTGAGGCCAGAGGATCATGAGTTCAAAGCCAGCCTCTGCAAAAGCGAGGTGCTGAGCACCTCAGTGAGACCCTGTCTCTAAATAAAATACAAAATAGGGCTGGGGAGGTGACTCAGTGGTTTAGTGCCCCTGAGTTCAATCCCTGTTACCTGTCACCCCCCAAAAGAGTCACAATATTTCAGAGCACTGAGAACAAGGCTGTCACTACTCCAGCACCTTTGCCTGTCCTAGGCTTCTTGCCCCAGTGCCTACTTGTGTGGGAGCAGAGTTGCCCAGGTCCTCTGTGCCTACTAGAGGCAAAAACTCCATTGCCGCAGTCTGGCTGGGCACAAATGCCGCAGTCTGGCTGGGCACACAATCACGAGCCACCACACAGCTTGTAGATTCAAACAGCAACTCTTTATTCCCGAACTCACACCAGCCGTCTACAATCATGTTCTGGGGAAATCCACGTTCTCTGCCCAAATCCACTCCCACTGGGCTTCTGTCTCCCAAAAAATACTGTCTGAATCCCGTGAGAACTCAAGGGGAACTCAGGCAGCAGGATACGCCCTATTCCCAGCAGGAATAATCTTAAACCTTAAACCTGGAACCTAAACCGGGAACGCCCTAATCCGCCTTGGTCCTTGAACAAGGTCACCTACATTCAATGTCACTGCAACATGGGGTACGCTGGCAAGGAAATTGTCATACCTACTTGGCTAATGGCTCCCAGCATCTCCCCCCTTCTGATTAATTAAACAACAAGCAATGTGGCTTAAGGACCGTGCCTGGTAGGTTGTCCAATTCAACATATGGTTCTTACCCGTCATCGGAAAACTGACCTTTAGGCGTCAGCCTCCTGTCTTAGGTTGATACCACTGCAATTGGATCATACCCGTCACTGACTACCGGTCCAGCATAAGCCATTGGCCCCCAAATTTTAGACCATCACTAGCAGAAGGGAGGAGGATACAGAAATGCCACAACACCAAGCCAATTGACGGCTCCTTGGGAAAAATTGCATCACTGGTGACACCATCAGCAAAGATATGCCAGCACTACCACAATTAACATGGGGTGCGCTGGCAAGGAAATAAAAATTGCATCACTGGTTAATCACTGTCGCAGATGTAAGAATGGCCAAGCTGGAGTTCTGGATATCAGCTGTTATGGATTTGAGTCAAATCATCTTCTTTTCGATCTGTAGAAATTGTTTTAGTTAATCTCTCTGGAATCCAAATCGGCTGCTGTTCTCCCTGTGGAAACACACAAACAAAACCCCGACTCCAGACAATCACTGGGTCAGGACCTTTCCATTGTCCTGTTAGAATATCTTTCCAAAGTACCTTAGGCTTATGTACATTTTTTGGATACAATGCCTTTCCGCAGCACTAAGTCCTGATGAATCTAAATTTTAAAAAGTTTAGGGTAAAAAGCGTTATTTTAAGTTTATCTTTGGGGGATATATACCCCTTTCCACTCCATTGCCCCTTCCTTCCTTTCTGTCCCAGTGGGAGCACTGGTGACCTGGAGGACTGCTCCTAGTGGTTGGTTTCTACTTGGTCTGGGGACTGTGCTGGCTTCTTTAACTTCTGTGTTTATTTTGTTTTCAGTGGTTCAGGTTAGAAAGCTCGGAATCATCCTTAGCTCTTCTCCCTCACGTACCCCCATCTAGAAAGCCTGTCACCTCTACCTTCTGAACACATCCCAGATCCAGCCACTTCCCACTGTTCCTGCTGCTGCTGCCCAGCCTCAAGCCCCTGCCATCTCTCACTTGATTGAATGTGAAAGCCTCCTTCCTGGGCTCCCGGCTTCTGCTCCTGCCAGGCCCCTTCACCATTCTGAACCCTTTGGCCAGTTGGATCGTGCCGCTGGGTGTCATTCCTTTCACTTTGAGGGAAAGCCTTGGCCTACCAGACCTGGCTCTCCTGACCTCTCTGTCCTCTCCTCCCACTCACCTCCTCACTCACTCTTGGTTTCCCTTCTTCAAACACGCTGTGTGCACTCCTACCTCAGGAGTGCTCTCGACTTTCCCTGTTCCTGGAATGCTTTTCCCCAGATATCCGCAGAGCTCAAGATCTCTTTGCTCTCTTCTTAGTGAGGCCAACCCTGACCACCTCCATACTCCAACTTGGGCTGAGGATGCAGCTTAGTGGTAGAGCACGTGCTTAGCAAGCTCCAGGCCCTGGGTCTGATCCAAACAAAAGAAAACCCTAAACTAACTTGTTTTCTACCCCCTTCACTTGTGCATTCCTGATCCACTTTAACTTATTTTTACTACTTACAGTTACTATATTTGTCTTTCCCCTAATTGACAAGTTCTCCCCAGCTGGGTGTGGTGGTACATGTCTGTCATCCCAGCGATTTGGGGGGCTGAGACTGGACAATCACAAGTTCCAGGCCAACCTCAGCAACTGAGCGAGCTTCTGAGCAACTTAGCGAGACCCTGTCTCAAAAAAAAAAAAAATAAAATAATAATAATAAAAGGACTGGAGATGTGGCTCAGTGGTAAAGCATTCCTGGGTTCAATCTCCGGTACCAAAAAGAAAAAGAAAATTCTTTGCCTTGTTTGTTCACTGATAGAGTGCCTTGCATATAGTGGGTGCCCAACAGATCTGTTGAATGAATTTGCAAATTTAGAGCAGGGTAAATGTGTGTGAGAACTAGGTGGCTTCAGAAATTTGAGTAGGTGACCTCTGAACTGGGTCTGGAAGTACATCTGGAGGTAGGTGACTGGAACTGATCAGGATAAACAAAGGCACAAAGGTGAGAGTGTTTGGTGGTGGGGCAGGAATTGGGGAGGAATGTCCACCAGTGACATTTAGTTGGAGTGGATATTAGCAAGGTAATTTGAGGCCAGATTGAGTAAGGTTTTGAATGGGGCTAAAGGCTTCTACAGTCCAGATTGGCTACATAATTTGTGGGGCACAGTGCAAAATGAAAATGAGGGCCCCCTGGGTAAAAGAAAATTCAAGACACTGACAGTGGTGCTTTAAACCAAGCTCAAGGCTCTTCTGAATGCAGAGCTCTGTCTGACTGCACAGGTCATAGGCCCACGACGCCAGCCAGCTTTGCCTGCAGTCCATGGAGAACTGGTGATAGTGTTCTAGCAAAGCAGAGATGTAATTGGAGCTAGGCTTCAAGAAGATTATTCTGGCATTTCCAGTGACTGGGTTGCAGGGAGTCTGGGCAGGGACACTGGCTGGCAGTCTTGGGCAGAGCTTGAAGGAAGAGGAAGGGAGAGGAGATGTGGAGGTGAGCCCAGGGCTCGAGTGAGAAGCACGGAGGAGACAGAATCTATATAGATGAAGCACGGGCCAGGGAGAGACAGCTGAATGCACCTGCATTTGCCCTTCTCTCTCCCCTGCGCTCCAGACCTCAGACTTAGAAGTGATATCTCCCACAGAAATCAGCAACTTGTCTCCCTTTGGCCACCAGAGGGCAGATTATTCTCATGGATTTTCAGGTTGAATTTGGGGTGGGGGAGTGGAATGGGCATTGTCCTCTTCATTTGTTTTTCCATCTTTTGGGGTGTGCCTTCACCAAGTTCTTTCCTGAGGTTGGGTGCCTGAATGAAGCTGGGGTGGAACATGGGAGATGTCCTAGAATCCTGTGGATTCACTAAGAACTGTAGGTGGTACCTGTTAACTAAGGAAGTTCTTCTTACTCGTCACATTGCCTCTGATCTGCTATTTCTCTGATTCAGGTGACCAAGGACTCAACTAAAGAAGAGTTTACAGGGAGGTGGAAGTCAGCTGTGGGAGGTCCAACCAGCACTTTTCTCCCATGACCTCTGGGGCCTCTCTGCTCTGATATGTATGGGGACTTCTTGCTTGTTCTCTAGCTCCTATGAGCCCTTTGGCTTCTGCCCACCTTAAACTGCTGTTGAGCCCTGGGAGAAAGGACCAGTTCCAATATGTCCTAAATAGAATGGATGGGGAAAAGTTGGAGTTGGAGAAATCAGTTTAGACTACTGCCTCTTCTTGGTGGGACAGTCAAGGGGGAAGCGAGGAAGGACCCAGGTTGTCACATGGACTTTCTGTTAGAGTCAAGAACTTCCAAAGCTGAGGACATCAGATTGCATAAATCCAATAAACTCACTTTACTGATAGGGAGAATGAGGCCCAATAGAAAGAAAGAAAAGGAATTTCTCCAGAGGCCCATTCTTTTTGCCTGAGGAAACTTTTTTGTTTGTTTTGTTTTTTTCTTTTAGTACTGGAGATTGAACCCAGGGCCTTTTGCATGCTAAGCACATGCTCCACCACTGAGGTACACCCCCAGGAATTTCTATTTTCAACATGTTTCCTTTTTCTTTTCCATGAGTTCCTTTGTCTCAGAAGGATAACTGAGATGCGAATTAAGATGAGAATATCTCTCCTGACTTAACCTTGTAGGACATTTAAAAAGGTAATTAGAACTCAAAGATGTTATTTCAAATGTCAACGCTGGAACAAAGGAATGGATCCTTTCAAATATAAGGAAGAAGAGCCTAACCTCAGAGATGTTATGTGATTTTCCAAGACCACACAGCATTTTCATTTGGTAGGGCTGGGGCTGAAATGCAGGGTCCTGCCTCTGGATGAGAACCCTGGTCTTGAACCTTGCAGAGCCCTGCACACTAAACTGAGAGAATGTCAAATAAAAAGAAACCACATAGACAATGTCATGTGGGAGGTAGGTAGACAGGTAATAGACTGACATTGCATTTAGCAGGTGACACAAATGTTGATAGAAAGGTTGGATGATAAACAGAAGAGGGATTTTATGAGCTGACCAACAGATGGACAAACGGAGACACAGACGGGAACCAAAGTATGCCAATCGTGGGTTGGGTAATAGCTTTATTTTCTATTCGGTCCAATAATACGCACAGGTGACCCACACTTTCTGTTCAAGATTTGAAAATAACCAAAAACTGACGGAAAGAAACGAAGAGTAAGACCCTGGTACTACACAGGGAAATAACCCGGGGCTCGGCAGGCCTTCGGGTGTTGCCGGAAATGGCCGACGACCGCCCTCGGCTGAGCTGAGGGATGGGGGCGTGACCCGCGCAGCACGCGGAGCCGCTTCGGGTGTTTCCGGAAACTGCCGAAAGCCAGCTCGAAGTGGGCGGGGAAAGGTCGGTGGGCGTGGCGGGTGGTTCAGGAGTGCCCGGAGTCACTTCGTGGGTTTCCGTAAACAGAGCCGAAGCTCGGTTTTCGGAATCGAAGAGGCGCGCGCGTCCCCGGGGGTTACCTTCTTCGGTTGTTTCCGGAATTTATCCTTAGTCGGTGGCAGAGAGGAGAAGGCACGTCCCCCTCCCTTTCCTAGACGCTTCGGATGTTTCCGGCTGCAGCAGGCGGAAAGAGCCGAGGGCCGGCGGTGGTGGCGGCCATGTTGGGAGCAGCAGGTCCGGCGGCGGCTGCCTGTGTGCCGGGCGCGGAGCAGTGCCGCTGAGGGCAGGGGAGGAGCGAGGCAGGCGGCCGGCTGCGGCGGCAGAGAGTAGGCGGAGCGGCGCGGCCCGGCCAAAAGGCGGCACAGCCCAGCCGGGGGTCGGGGGGGTGCGGTCCGGAGCCGCTCGGAGCCGGCGCGGCCTAGCCCGAGCGGCGCATCCCCGGGCTAGCGTGAGCGGCTGCCCGGCCTCCCCGCACCCCCGGCCGGGGCCCATGCGGCGGGTGTTCGTACTGTGAGAAGCCCCGCCCGGCCGGGCTCTGCGCCTTCCCTTCCCTCCCTTCCTTCAAGCTTCTCGGTTCCCTCCCCTGAGATACCGGCGCCATGTCCAGCGCCCGGACCCCCCTACCCACGCTGAACGAGAGGGACACGGAGCAGGTAAGGAGCCCCGAGGGCTCCCCGAATTCTCTGGATGGGCCCCTGCACCTTGCGGAGCCTCCTCCCTGCTCTGCTGTCCTCGTGCCCCTGCTGCCATCCCGCAAGCCTTGGCTGTCCTGTCATCTGGCCCCGGGATCCGGCCCCCACGTCCCTCTTCGAGTCCTGACCTGGGACCCACCTTGTCTTGACTCGGAGCTGCACACTTGTCTTTCTGCCAACCCCTGTCCCCTCACCACCGCTCTCCTGCGCTCTTCCGTGTTACCTCCCCAGCTTCCCCTTCTCTTCCCTTTTTCTCTCAGGGGCCTTTCTGGTCTTCCTCCACCCACGCTTAAAGCAGCCACTCTCCCGCTCCTCGAATAACACCCCGCGATTTGCCACGCGATTTGTCCATCTCTTTCAGCGTCTGCCTGGCCTTGCTTCCCTTCCACCCGCACCGGTTCTCCCAGTCCCAGTCCCTGGTTATCGCCCTCAGGGTCCTTGCCTGGGATTGGGTTCTAGGTCCCCGTCCCCTTTGACTTCCCCAGCTTTTTCTACCCTGCTTCTTCCCGTTCCAATTTGTGCTCTCCCTGTTGTTTGCAACCCACCAGCTCCACCCTCATCACCTTTCCAAATGGTTCGCCTACTCTTTGCTCATCACTTTCCCTTCTTTTCGCCAGGAGCTCCCTGGTTCCTGGCTGTGGCATGTGTTGCTTCCGTGTTTCCCATACAGCTGTCATGCGCATAGTTTTCCCACAGGTTGTCTTTGGGGTTCCAATCACCACTCCCTTCAGACTCTGGATCCCTTTGGTTTTCTTTCCTCTGAGGTTTGGCTTTTAAGTCCCTGGGCCTCCTGTTTCTTACTTGTGTTCTTCCAGCCTTTCCCTCCCGCTGTGGTAGGAAAGACACTCACTGTTGCAGTCCTGCTATTGTAACATAACCTGTTGCTCGGTCCTTTCCCTGCCTCGCTGCCTCACAGTCCCTGCCTTTCTGCCCTCTTTGCCTGCTGTGAAAACCAAGATGCTTTCTATCTCGACACTCTGTGACTGTCACTTCTCATAGTGTCTTCCTCTTGCTTGTTGCTTCCTGTTTCTCAACCTCACCCCATCTTCTTTAGTGCGCCTCTTATTCGGTGTTGCCTTTCATGTCCATGTGAGTCTCCTGCCCTCTTCACAGCATATTTACTCCCCAACCCTGTGGGTTCCTATGCATTCCCTTTCTGTTGGCTAGTCTTGGAAGTTCACGAATTTTGCATGCTAGTCTCTTATGCTACATGTCATCTTCATGACCCTACACACTTCCCCTTATCCTGGCAATAACTGTCACCCAAGCCTTGCCTTTTCTGTGTTCTCATCTCACCTCTGAGCCGAGAGGCGTCCACTTTCTTTCACCATCTCCAGTGTTCCTTTCTGCCTGGTCTGTGGAGAGGTCTGTGCCCAGCAGGCCTTTCTTGGTAAACTTTACTAGGCAAAAAAAACTTGTCTTGAAAAAGGAGCCCTTCTACCCTGAGGCTGCAGTGCTTTTTGCATTCTATTCCCTTATTACACCCTTTGTTCCCTCTTGTTTCCTTTTTTCTTCCTGTCCTGGTAAGGTAGAGCTGTTGTTGTAGTCTCTTGCTTATTAACCTCCTCTGCAAAAGGTATCTCTTTTCATTTATTGTGCTTTTTTGTCTTTTTCCCTTTTGCTCTCTATCACCTGGACAGTTAGGAACTTAAGAGGAGTCTGGATGGAGCTTTTCTCTGTATACAGTCATTGACCCTTTTGTTAATGGAATATATGCTTCAGGGGTGAAGTAGGGGGTTGAGAGGGAGGAATGGTTGATTTGTTTCATCACTGGGTCTGGCAGCTGTTTTTGCACGGCACAGTGGTCTTTGGAAACCAAGGAGTTGGGTCTGTGTCCCATAGTCCCTCGCTTGCCAGCTGGTTCCCTCCTACCAGAAACCACTTTCTCCAGGCCCTCTTGAGGTTGCTTGTTCCATCCTTTTTCTTCTCACAATCTTTGTTTTAGCAGGTAGATCCTGCTTAACTGGAGAACTTTTCAAACTGTTGAAAATGAGCTTGTAGGAGGAGGCCAAGTGACTGGCACCTTCAGGCATTTGGGGAGAGGCTGGAGTGCCTACTCTCTGTGAGGCTGTGGGGGCATTGTGTTCAGCACAGAGTAAGAGACTACCTCAGTGTGATTTCTAGGTGCTGTTTACTAATGGCAAATACATCATTGCCATGGTCTATTTCTTGTGATGTGTGCACTGATTTCCTCTCTTCCTTAACATGTCTAGCATACTACTGAGCATGTGGTAGGGACTCGTGCATGTCCACTGATTTCATGACAATAGTCACTGGTGACCATTTTGGAATGTAAGCTGCTCTGTGATAACTTTATCCAGAGCACTGGCTGCATATATTATCCTGTTCCAAATTATGAATTACTCATCCTGTCTCTACTCTTTATGGACTTAAGTTCCCTGTAGTTCTCAGGATAGCCAGTCACACTGTTGATGTTATGTTAAGTCTCATACCAGTGAAAGCCCAAACTTTGGAAAATCTGGGATGCATCTCTTCTGGGCAAGTGCCTGTAATTCTGTTTGTTTGGTTGTTTTGGTGGGGATGGAACCCAGGGCCTCCTAGTGCTTTTATCACTGAACTTCATCCCCCAGCCACTGTATTCTTTAAAGTAGAAAAAAGAGACAAGCAGCAGCTTCTCTGGTCACAAGGACAGGGATGTCAGAAATATTGGCCTCCTTTAGAATAGATCATGCCACCAACTGAAAGTAAGAACCCTTTTCTTGGTCCTGTTGTAATTTTAGCTAAAGTAGCCTTGGGAGCTCAGTCATTGCAGTAATGTTAATGTTAGGAAATAAGCAAGGGATTTGGCTGAGCAATTCGTTCCCCCCCCCCCCCCCCCAATAAAGCATCCACAATCACCTTATTTAAATTATTTATAAAACTTGTTTCACTAGAAAATAGGTAAACAGCTGGAGCATGCCTATAATACCAGTGGCTCGGGGCTGAGGCAGGAGGATCGCGAGTTCAAAGCCAGCCTCAGCAAGGCACTAACCAACTCAGTGAGACCCTGTCTCCAAATAAAATACAAAATAGAGCTGGGGATATGGCTCAGTGGTTGAGTGCCCCTGAGTTCAATCCCCAGTATCTCCCCACAACCAAAAAAATAAATATAGGTAAACAAACTTCAGTGATACCTTTAATCCATTTTCTTGCTTTTTCTCCCTATTCTTTAAAAAAATGTGGCTGATGAGAAGCTGTTTCTAGGAGTTCTTTGATCATATCTGAAACATACACAGAAAATGTTGAAGCATAAAAATAAACCTTATGTTGCAGGGAGATTGCCTGTTTGCTGTCAACTCTTCTTCTAAAAGAAGATAAAAGAAAGTCAAGCCCTGTCTTTAAGATGATTTTTGTGACACCTAATTCTAGCTATGTTTTCACAGCCTTCTTTTTGCAGAAGGATTCTGACCTGGGGCGGGTAGTTTTGGGGTTTCTTAGTCTGTGAACTGAGCTTTCTGTTCACTTCTTTTCCAAATGGCTCTGCTGGCCCGGAGGCTTGGCAGTCTTGAAAGCAATCAGCAAGATGACTGTTTGTCTTCCAGCCAGCACAGCAGTAATAGGCAAGTGTGGAGAAGGGTCCAACTTCCAGAGTTCACCTGCCGCCAGCTGGAGCATTTGGTAACCCCGGGGGAAGGGCCACATGGCTTGAACCTACCCTCCTCTGGGTCTCAGGAGCTGAGACAGAGAGCTCCTAAGAGAAAACAGGAGCCTTTTGCTGCCCACTGAGCTTTTGCTGCTATGGTCAAGGGAAGGCACTGTCACCACTCTTCCAAAGTATGAGTGGTATAGTATATTCTTTCAGATAGTTTGAGAAAGAGGAGTTCAGAAGTCTTGATGAAAAAGGGCAAATCTAAATTATAGGATCCTGTAAAGAACAGCTGAGGGGCTGGGGTGTGGCTCAGCGGTAGAGTACTCGCCTTGCGAGACCCTGGGTTCGATCCTCAGCACCACATAAAAATAAATAAGTGATATAAAGGTATTGTGTCCAACTATAACTAAAAAATAAATATTAAAAAAAAAAAAAAAAAAAAGAACAGCTGAGCCACTAAACACACCTTCATCAGACCCTGGTGTCGACTCTGGCCAGTGTGGCCCTGGACGCTTTGTCTCTGATCTCCGCCAGGTCAGCTGGCTGGATTAGCTAGCTTCCTAGTTCCCACATTTTGAGCTGTGTGTCACCTTGCTCCGGGTGCTGGTGCTAGAGTCTGGACTTGTTCTCTGGCAGAGGCTCCTTGATGGGGTTGCTGCCTTATGCTCAGGGATGCAGGCGAATATCTGACCAATGAGTCTAACTTCTCCTGGGCCCTAGAGATAGTGATGAGGTGTTAATTAGAGCAAGGACTCCACGAACCTATAGTCTTGCCATGTCATATATACTCTTTGAACCTGATGAAACTAAGTAGTCAATTATAATAATTTCTGTACAATCTGTGAACTTGGGGAAGTAGTTGAACAGAGGGATGCAAGGCAGTCGTTGAGAATTGGCCTGCTTCAGGTTAAAATTCAAGCTCGGACTAGGTTATCTGAATCTTTCAGGTTGTAACCAAAGATTGGGCTGGAGATACTTTTCAGCAAACACATCATAAGCACAGTTGATGCCTAGGACGTGGGAAAAGATGGAAAATGTGTTTGCCTAAGAGGTTTGCATGGTGAGATATCTTGGAAGTCGAGCCTCTCAGGCTAGACTGTTTCTCCTTTGGAACAGCAACCCAATTCTCAGTGGCCATTTGACCAGGACCAACCCAGGCCTTCATGAACTCTTTGCCGTTGAGCACTTAGCCACCTGGCTGGCATTTCCCTTCTCCCAGGAGCTTCCGTGACATTCCTTTCCTACATATGTATTATGTCAACTAGAATGAATATTTTATGCCTAGAGTGCAGCCAGGCCTCAGACTTTGTGGACCATTATTGACAAGTGGGGTGGGGGCTGGGCGCCACCTTTGGCCCCCTGATAGTGTCTCTGCTAAATGGACTCCCCCAGCAGCACTTTGAAGCCCATTAATGGATTGGCATGAAGTAATCTCAGCGAATGGAAAGGGCCAGAAGGATGGTCATCTTCCTTCCCTGGAACGACTTGATGAGGCTTCCTGCAGTGCCCAGGAGCAGCCCTGATTCCCTCGGCTTGGTTAAGCTGGGGGCTGGAGGTGTTCCCTTTTAGCTGTGGTGGTGCTGCTAGGCTCACCACTTTACTATCAGCAGAAATTGAGAGGGATACAGAAAGGGTGATGGAGTGCAAACCTGGCTGTTCCTCTTCCTTAGAAATGAGGAACAAAATGACAAACCAGATAGGTGGCCGAGTTTCCTTCTCTTGATGGGAGATTCCAGTATTTGTACATTTTGCACTTGAAGCTTGGGTTCTCCAGGCTTTCTCCCAGCCTTCATCAAACACGAGTGAGTCACTGAAGTGTTAGCTGTGCATTTCTCCCCTCTGTCTCAGCACAGGGAAGAGTAAGCCTTTACAAACCTTGTGGGGGAGGAAATCACCCTCTCCTGCTGCTGGCATGGAAAGAGGCAGGCTATCCCCAGGTTAACCCTGAAAGTTCTTACTCTCCCAGTCCAATGTCATTGCCCCACCTCTGCCTTTTGGTGTAGGCCATTGAATGTCATTGCTCATACTTTGGAGAGGTGGTACAGCCCATTCTGAACAGCACCGAGAGAGAACCTGGCCTCTTGGTTTGCAGTTTTCTCTCAGGAGGCATCCCTGTGCCTTCACAGACCATTAGAGCAGCTCCTCCTTTGGGGATGTAGGTAGGCTGGATCCCTTGATCTGCAGGTCTGTTTTTGTCGAGTGAAGTTTCTTGGTTTCTGTGGGGAGTTCTTTCCATAGATGTCTTTAGGTTAGCACTCATTTCCCCTATTTCTAACTATTCCTTACCTTTCTCATT